AACATGGAATCTCTGCTTTTAGTCTCCCTTTCACCGGAGGGGGGACAACGGGAGGGACACGAAGAGAGCAGTTTAAGTGGGGGTTAATTTTTCAGCTGTGTTTTTAAACCAGCACAGGTATGTAAATCAAAACTCAAACCATCAAGTTTAGAATCAGGATAAACAGTCTTTGTGACAGGCTTTCTATAAGCTGCTTCAGTGATTCCGTATAATTGGAACCCATGCCTAGGAACCAGAAGAATGCATATGAACCCTGAAAGGGAAGGAGTAGTGGTAGTGGTAGAAGCTACGACTCTTCCCATCAAAGGTTAATCATAAAAGTCGCATAAACAGAAATGTCTTTTCTCAAATATAAGAGATCCTAGGATAAACCTACTGTGGTCATCAGTTGGAGCTCTCTGACACATCATGAGGACTTTCTGATCTACACTTAAATTACTTTCTTCAAGGTAAAGCTTCAACCCTTGATGTAAACATGGAGTCTCTTGACTTTGGAAAAGGGCCATGTTTATTTAGTTCTGTTGTCAGTTGAGACAGGCTTTCCCAGATTTTTTTTGTGTTTTTTTTTTGTTCTGCTTTCAACAGTCCTGCAGTGATTGATAGGATGTTTATTACTTTTTACTGTATATTAAGCTCTTTCACAAAGTGGTTGAATATGCTAAACTCTGAAGGGGAATGCTAGGTGGTACCATTTCATAACCACACTTATATGTGATGTTTGAATTGACTATGCAGGTGCTGAAATTTTCACTTAATCAGTGTTTTACAAGGGACATTAGTATCCTTTTAATTAGTGTATGTTTCTGGAGTTCACTTAATGTTTGAAGCTGTTTCTCATTCTGACTTGCTGTTTGCAATTCAAGAAAGTAGGGAAGAGTTGATTAGCACTACTAAGCTATTGCATGAGATAAGGAAGTACAAGTAGCCTGCAATAAAAGAGTAAAACCAACCTCACTGAAAGTGAGATGATATGCATAAACTGAAAGATGGGTTTTTTTCATTAAATAAAATTTGTTTCCTTAGATTTGAACTTGTATGGACATAAGAAGCTTTAAAAAAAAAAAAAAAAAGGCACACGACATCAGTGTGCCAGAATCATGTTTGGAAATGAGCTGTTTTCACTTCCCATTTAGGCTTTCAGATGAGCATTCTATTTTTGAATTTAAAAATTGCAGCTGTAAGTTTAGCAATTCACTTTCTATTCCTGAAGCTCAAGGAAGCATATTTCAGATGCAAAAAAATGGTTCCTGTTGAAAGTCAATGATTTACAACATTTTATACATTACTTCCACTTTGTATTATTAACCTTGGTAATATGAGTTATCATTAAGTACTTTTGTGACCGAGAGAACAGTTATTCTATTACAGAACATAGAACAACTTGTTGAGGTTAATAGCTCTTTGCAATTTTTACTTTTTTTTAAAAAGAAAGACAGACCTTTAATTTTCCTTTGTCAAGTATACTGAGTATAGACATGTAAACCAGTTTTCTTTTGCATTGCCTATGTTTGTATGCATGTAAGTATCAATAATTTTTTCTTCAAAAGTCAAAGTTACTAGAGGACTTATTTCCTTCAAGTGGTCTGCTTAAAAAAATGAAAAAATTGTTTTATGAACAATTTCATTTTCTGAAGGTGATTAATTTCATCTATGAGGTTGCAAAAGTATACATTCAGTTCCTTTTAAACATATGAAGAAAAAATTATTTAATTTGAAAGACTGACCAGTGTGTAAAGTTCAGCAGCTGAGTGTGTATTTTCAGTAAGAGATCTTTAGTTTGGTACCACATTGCTATCATACTTTAAAAAAAAAGTATTTTTATTTAAAAAGTTTTGTTTACCAGAATTTTGATTAAGCATTTTGCAAACTTTAGTAGATGTAGTTAATATTGGTTGCAAATCAAGCCAAATCAGTTTCCTTCCCATGTCACAAGCTATCAGCCTATTTTGAGAATAATTAGCTTCTGACACAATCTCATTAGACACACCTCCCTTGATGAGCTTCCTGTTGGGGGGTTTTTTGGTTTTTTTTTTTTTTTTTTTTTGACTGTTTTGGTTTGGGTTGTTTGTTTGTTTTTTTGTTGCAAGACTGGATAGTTGGGGAATTAGTTCTGTGATACACCAAGCATTTGTGTAAAGTTCATATTATCCCTGTTAAAGTAGGGCTAGAAAGAAACGTGAAACTATTTGCTCTTTAATACAGCAGTAGATATAATGTTGATTTAAAATTTTTACTAAAGAAATTGGTATGAAAATTGGATTGCCTTAACTGCAGAATTGCATAGATATGTTCAGGCACTGTTTATTCCTGTCACTATAGATGATGCAATATTTTTGAAAAGGGTAAATCGTGGAACATAGACCTTGACTTAGATATCAAGGCTAACTGCCATGTCCTCACAAATGTAACACTTCATAATTACTATGTAGATGTCTGGAATTATTGTTAATTCTTAAGGTTGAGGGGCGTGTGTCTGTGTGTGTTTGTTTAACTTGGCAATTCTATACCCATCTATCTGCCCATGTCCGCTTTTGGTTTACTGAAGCTTGTATTCTTATATTTCCTTCCTGCTGCCGTTGCATCCAGTCAAACTGAAGTGCAGCCACTAAAAATTAGTGGTGATCACTTTCATTTATTGTCCTGGTTTAGGGCAAATTTGGGAGAAACCCTCCAAAGGGGGCCCCTCCAGAAAGCAAACCCACACGGCCCCTCCCCCCAACTGGTTTGGGAAGGATTCCTCGTAGAGAAGTGGAAAGAACCTGGTTATTTAACAGGCAAAGCACCCCCCTCAGCACGCAAAATGAACAATACCGGATGACAGCACTCTTTCACTGCTCTGAAAGAGATGACAAATTCAGAAAGTCTCTCCTGGGAGTGGTCGCTCTGTTATTGGTCCCTCCGGCACTGGGGGTAGCTGCTGCAGGCCACAAGGTGCAAACTCTCAGTGTTTCCCAGGTCCCAGTCCGGAGCAGGCTCGAGTGGTTCCAAAAAAGGGAAAGAAAAACAGTCCAGGGAAAATTCGGATTGCCTAGCTAAACTAATTAACAAGCAGAAGCAAAAGCAAGAGCAAAGCAGGAGCAAAGCAGAAGCAAGAGCAAAGTGAAAGCAAGCGCAAAATAAAGCAAAAGTTGCATTATGTACTGCCCCGTCTCTGTGTCCTGCCAGTTGTGGGGGAGCAGGCTGATAACAAAACAAAACAAAACTTTGCTCTTCAGAGCCAGTCTTGAAGGCACAGAACATAATATCCAGCATAAACAGAACACATGAATGGGGATACAAGCATCATAATGTCACCCTAGGACATTTATTAATTTGTGCATTGCTTGAAGTAATTGTGGTCTCCAAGGCCTACTACATTATAAGTAACTAGAAATTACCCTATTCCTGATATGTTTTCAGTAACCACTCTTTGAGTAAATAACTATGATAGTAAGAAAAAAGCAAGTCTTTTAATAAAGGAGATCCAGATGGGGAGAATACTGAAAATCTTTGGTGATGTAGGAATATTTCCATGTGTTATGCATAGCTTCATTGTAAATTAATGCCATATAAATTGTTGGTGTGTTCTTGAATTATGTAGGCACTGGCTAAGCCTAATTTGTACGACTTTTTGCACTATTAGTGTGTCATGGCATACATTTATGGTAACTGATAAAAGAGCATAAAGGTCATAGGTATGTGGTGATGGATCTACAATGTGTAATATGAATAGTTGCCATTGATCCTATTGTCAAATATAGCAATATGTATATCAATAGTTGTTAAATAATTGTAAGAACTTTGGTGGTACTAGTGCATTTTGATATGTTTGTCTGTAATATGCATTTGTTATGACTTTTAATATTGTAAAAATATTGACTTGAAGGTAGAAATAAAGGATTGTGAATGATAATATGTAAAGATGAAATAGTTGTGGCTTAAGGATGACTATAATATTTCAACAAGTACAATATGGTCTGCAATAAAACATTTTTGTGAGGTTGTATTTTTTTAAAAATCAACTGGCACCTCAAATACAACTTAAAATATGTATATGAATATTTTGAAATTTAAATGTTTAATTTGCCCAGCTAACACAACATTCTGACATGTATTGCTACAAACACTTGTAGTTCTGAATCTTTTTCACTCCAGGCTATGTCTAGAGTGGCATTGGAATTGGCAGCCCCCAAAAGACCTTTCTAGTGTTTCAGAGCTCTGCTGTGAGTGAGGTAGCATGGACTTGAATATACCCTAAACTGGCTACAGTAACTCATGCCTTGGCCACATCCAGATGGATATGGTTTTGGCTTTATCAGTAAGTGTTTCAGAAGTGTAGATGGCCTGAGGAGCCAGTCAGTATTTGCTTCTGGGTTGACAGCTATAGAAAAGTTTTTACTAGGCTTTTTCCAGCACAGCAAGATGACTTTTGTAATGTGTCTGTATATTGGTAAGCTGGTTATGTCTATTTGTCTGCTTTTGCTCTCTTTTCATCTTAGGAATTTAAAGATCTCATGCTTATCAGTCTGGAGGTATGAACAGTTTTGCATAATTAAAAAAAAAAGGAATTTTAGTTAATAAACTGCAGTTGACAAACCAAACTTTTAATACACCTAAATTTGGAAAAAAATATCTGTTCCTGTGATTGGAGAATTTGTTGGTCTCTGTAGAAACTGTAGTGTGACCAGACCCATGTGTTGATCAAGCTCCTGTCACTGATTTAATTCTCCATTAGTGACAAAGATTGCCCAGGGTATTTGAGACTGAAAGTCACTTCCTATTAAGACCTGATTTTAGTTTCATGAGTATTGATCTAACAGATAATTTTGGATGCTGCTTTGTGTGGAGTGTCTTCCTCAGTTTTTCAGTTTATTTTGATGCCCTGTTTAGCTTTTAAGTCAAATCACAGGCACACTTTAGGGACCAAATTAAGTTTTACTGGCTAAACACTCTAATGTAAAAGGTAAACTGCACATTCTACAGATAACAGCCTGGGGGAGGAGGGGAGTACATTAAGGTAAATGTACCGAGGTAAGTCTAAGCTAAGTTGCTGAAATTAGGAGACTGCATACCCACAAAATGCACTTTTCCCAAACATCAGCTGAAGATTTCAGCCCTATTGATTTCTTTCCCTACCTACTTCAGTTCTGTTTATACATCTAAAAAGCCAAAGAAAAGGCTACTGCAATTCAGTGTCTTGGTGTCACAGAAAAAAGCCTGCCAAAAATGCAAATGAGAAAGTTTATGAAACTCTCTCTCTGAACTTTTTAAAAGCCAAATCAGATGACTATGAATGTACAGAATCCTTGGAAAAGGGTTCTCTGATTTGAGGATGTGGAAACTTGCTGATGATATAACAGATAATGATGATCTGGTAGCCAGTTACCCAGAATTTGCAAGGCTGGTGGTATAAGACATTCTAATTGGGGAGTGGGAGGGTTGGATTCTTACATGGGTGTGCTGTTAATTATTTTCATGTTAATGTAGTGGGAGGTTGAAAAGTTGGTATGCCTGAATCTGTAGTATATATGAAAAAGAAGCTAGGTTTAAATTGTGTAATTTTAAAAGCAATAAAACCCCCAAGAAGCTTTATTATGTTGGTGAGGATGGAGACAGTTATCGTTTGTCCATCTTCCTGTCTCCCCCAGTGAACTACTCATGTATGGTCTTAAGCAAAACTTTCTCCTACTTAAAGCATAGTAATTTGATATTTAATTGTGGTGTTCAATGATTTCTTTTTCGTTTGCTACAAGTGTTTTGCAGTCAGTTGCCATTACTGCTTGCTGGAAATTTCACCACATAGTATGAGTGCCACCTGAATGCCTTTAGCATGATATTGCATGTTCTCTTCATAAGAAATAATCTTATTGTAAATGATAAGACTTATAAGACAAATGGCTGGATGCTGTGTGTTGAAGGCACTGTTTGGGTTTGGGGGCTTGGGGTTTTTTTTAACTTTTGGGAATCCTGAGCAGAGGAGGGGTTTATGTGGGACTTCAGAATAAAGACCTAATAAAGTACTAGAAATAGTTTGTCTGTGTGTATACATAGGCTTGACAAAATAAGTTGGTCCCTCAGAATATTCTGGCAGTCTCTGAGGCCCCAGCTGATATGAAGGGCCTGTTGTGATGAGCTGTATTTGCCTTTATGTACAATTATTACCTTGGAACATTTAATTAAAGGCTTTGGATGAAAGAGAGAAGAAGAGGTACAGTATAGCAGTGAGCAAGGCCAGTGTTGAGTTAGCACAGCTTTAATTTTTATACAGATCTTATTATTTTTTTTTAAATTATGAATAGAGATAGGGATGAAGGAAATTTGACAAGGGAAGAAGGGAAAATATAACCACGTAAGGTGGCAAGCTTAGGTTTCTGTTTTATACTTGAAAGCAGATATAAAATTTCTCATGTGGTAGAGAATTCTAGTTTAAGTTTTGAAAAATGAGACATGTCCTTAAAATCTGTTTAATTCTTTTGGGTAACAATGTCAAGCATTTTGGTTTATATAACTGTCTGGTAGCCGTGATGTTTTAATCAGATCTTGAATGTTTTTAACTTGTCATTTAAGCCTTTCATAGTTTGTAGATGTCAAAACTTTTTTTTTTTACCTATTAATGGAGTGATATCTGGACTATAATTTAATTATAATTTATGTAATTGTTTTTCCTCTTTTGCTAGGAAACACTGCATTACATGACTGTGCAGAATCTGGAAGTTTAGAGATCATGAAGATGCTTCTCAAGTATTGTGCGAAGATGGAAAAGGATGGCTATGGAATGACTCCTCTCAGCCAGTGTGACAGGCCACACAAATATTGTGGACTTCCTGACCCAACATGAACAGACTAGTAAGATAGAATGTATAAATGCTCTGGAACTTCTAGGAGCAACATTTGTGGACAAAAAGAGAGATCTGCTTGGTGCTTTGAAATACTGGAAGCGAGCTATGGAAATGAGATACAATGATAGGATTAGTATCCTGAACAGACCTGTACTGGAGCAGTGGCTGGTGGAAAGTAAAACGCCCAGGCTAGATAAGTGTCCAGCCAACTTCCAGCCAGTAAGGCACTTCCCCAACACGAAGTCAGGGCCCGGTGCCTAGCGATGACAGGCTTTGGACGTGTGGCCGCAGTAGAAAACTCCGAAGTCACAGGATTAAATGAAGAGGCGACTCTCAGTTTCTTCAGGGAGGGTGGTTTTATTGGTAGGGAAACGTGGGGGTTCAGGTAGAAGGAGCTGAGAGCCCCGAGGCAGGGAAAGCCTCAGGTTTTACAGAGGGTGGGAGGGGTGAAAGATAGCAAATCAGAGAGGGATACATTAAGGATTGGCATAATCAGAGAACCCATCAAACACAGTTGTGGGAGGGACCCTGGCCCCTAACCCAATCACCCGACATCCTGGCCCGAACTTTCTAGAAAAAGAGGCAGGGGTGTCGAGTGACAGGCAGGCCGTCAGGGGTGGGGAACAAGAAAGATAACCAAGACAACTGGGGAGGGGTTTGGGGATTGACACAAACTGGTAACAGGGCAGGACCTTCTGAGAGAACAATGGGGGGAAAACTGAACAAACATAAAACACACCACAACACTGTACCACAAACACTAATTATGGCCTATGATTATGCTAAAGAAGTAAACAGCTTAGAAGAGCTAGAAAATCTTATTGCAGATCCTGATGAGATGAGAATGCAAGCACTATTAATTAGAGAACGCATTCTTGGTCCTTCTCACCCAGATACATCCTACTATATTAGGTACAGAGGTGCTGTCTATGCAGACTCTGGAAACTTTAAACGATGCATCAACTTATGGAAATATGCTTTGGACATGCAGCAGAGCAATCTAGATCCACTGAGCCCTATGACAGCCAGCAGTTTACTATCATTTGCTGAACTCTTCTCCTTCATGCTGCAGGACAAGGCAAAAGGCCTGCTAGGCGCTACTGTCACATTTGATGATCTAATGGGTATACTATGCAAAAGTGTTCTCGAAATAGAGCGGGCCATGAAACAAATCCAGTGTCCTCCTGATCCAATACAGCTAAACAAAGCACTTTCTATCATTTTGCATTTAATTTACTTGTTGGAAAAAGTACCTTGCACCTCAGAACAGGAGCATTTTAAGAAACAGACTATATATAGGTTTCTTAAGCTTCAGCCTAGAGGGAAGAATAACTTCAGTCCACTTCACCTTGCTGTTGACAAGAATACTACATGTGTGGGTCGCTACCCAGTTTGTAAATTCCCCTCTCTACAAGTTACTGTTATCTTGGTGGAATGTGGTGCTAATATAAATGTCAGAGACTGATAACAACAGTCCTTTACATATTGCTGCACTGAACAACCATCCAGGCATCATGAATTTTCTTATCAAGTCAGGTTCACACTTTGATGCCACAAACTTGCATAAACAAACTGGATCCCCTCCCTTGACCCAGGAATGCAAAAGCACAAAAGTATCTGAAATTAGTAATCAGGATCCAAGACTGAAAAGAAATCTTCAAGGAAAGCCAGAGGGTAAAAAGGATGAGGTAAAAGAAAAGAGGAGAAATACAGAGAAAAAAAAAAAGCCAAGGAGGAACATAAAATATACATTGGTGCCTGTGATTGTTCTTTCCTAGGTGTAGGACTTGGCACTTCCCCTTGTGTAACTGCATGAGGTCCCTGTCAGCTCATGGCTACAGCCTGGTGCGGTCTCTCTGGATGCCAGCTTGGCCCTCTGGCGTATTGACCACTCTTCCCAGTTTTGTGTCATCAGCAAACTTGATGAGGGTACATTCTGGCCCACCATCTAGATCATTAATGAACATGTTAAATGGGATTTGACACAGTATTGACCCCTGGGGCACACCACTATTGAGACAGAGTAGAAATTCTCCAGAATAGAAATCCATTTTGATTTAGGTTAAATGTACATCTTTGAGTTAAGTCTGTAGTTTGAAAACATTTAGTCTGACTGCCTGTTCTCGTAAAAAGCCTAGGCTCAGAGCAACTGCTTCAGTGAAGGATAGAGATAAGGCGGGGGGAGACAGAGAGAGACAGAGACTGCTGTGAGAGCAGGTCAACCTGACCTAAGAATTCTTTCTGATAAAGAAGAACTAGTGGCAAATGTCACACGAAATTTGTAAAAATGAATATGTATGAACCTTTTGTGAAATTGCATGCATATGTATTTGAGAGGGGGATAAAAAGGGACCTGGAGTTCCCAGAGGTAAGCATGTCTTTTAAGGAGAGTAATCTCCACATGCATCCAGCGCTGTAATAAACATCCCGGCTTTACAACTTTCACAAAGTTGTGGATTTTTGTTTATCTCTGCAAAACACTAGTTACTGGCCTCCAACTAGACTTCCATGGTTTCTAGAATTAGCTACTCCATCATCTTCCCAGGGATTGATTTAAGGTGACTGACCTGTAGTTACCTAGGTCGCTGTTCTTTCCCTTTTTGAAGATAGAAGGGACATTTTCTTTCTTCCAGTCTTTTGGCACTTTTCTCAGTCACCATGATTGATCAAAGATTATCAAGAGTGGCCTTGTGATGACATCAGGCAGCTCCCTTAGCGCTCATAGGTACATCCCATCAGGGCCCCCTTTTGTCTCCTATGTACTTATATGTCCTAGATTGCAAGATAATGTGTGTATTCTATTTGCTATCTGTTAGAGGTGTGGCAGTTATCTTCTGTTAATTAGGCAGTTTTCTTTATCTCTTCCACAAACCAATCCTCCTTCTGGGAGACATCTGCTGTTAATGGGCCATTGAGTGTCACTGCATGGCTGATAAAATTACATCATCTCATTGTGAGATGCTCCACCCAGGAGGAGGAGCCAAGCATTCTGTCCTGAATATAATCTGAGATTTTGGGACACCAGGGCAGCCTTTTTCCCTCTGGATTCCCAGAGGAGTAGCTGTCTTCTCCACTAGATTCCTAGAGAAAGAACAGGCCCATCTACACTGCTACCAGACCTTCAGAGGAAAACTCCACCCTTCTACAGGATCACTGCTCCAGCAGGGCTTCAGCATGCTCAACAGTTCCTCCGAAAGGCAAACATTGAAAACTCATGAATGTGGCCGCAGCTCTCTTCACAGAGAGCAGCAGGCACAACTTTCCCAGGATTTTCCTGGGGAAAGCTGTGAGAAAACTCAGAGAAAGAAGAAAAACAATTCTTATCTTCACTTGCTGCATCTGTTGTTTGGCACATGTGGAATGTGTTATGGAGATTGTTTACCAAAAGGGATTCCTTAGTTGGATTCTGGTGATGGTGGTTTTGATTGATTGACCAATTAGGTCAAAGCTGTGTCATGACTGTAAGGGTCACGGGTTTTTCTTTAGTATAGTAGTAGTATAGTTTTTAGTACAGTATAGTAGAGTATGGCTTAATAAAGCATTTGTTCAGCCTTCTGCAATCATGGAGTCAGTGGACATCAGTCCCTGCTCAGGGGGCTTGCTGCCACAATACACAAATGCCCACCCCTTCCTCCTCTCTCCCTTAGCTTATATATCTGAGCTGATGTCATATAGTACAGAATATCCCTTTGGTTAATTTGGGTCAGCTGGCCTGGTTGTGTCCTCTGCCAGGATCTTGCCCACTCCCATCCCCTTTGGTGGGGGAAGGAATGTCAGAGGGACAGTGCTGCCTGGCAGTAGCCAAAACACTGGTCTGTTATCAACACCCTTCCAGCTACCAATGCAAAGCACAGCACTGTAAGGGCTGTGAACTTTACTTCAGTCAGACCCAATACAGATGCCCAGAGGCCAAACTTTGGGCTGTTTAAGGGATTAGTTGAGAGAGTCCCTTGGGAGGCAGTCCTGAAGGACAAAGGAGTCCATGATGGCTTGATATGCTCCAAGAAGGAAATCTTAAAAGTACAGGAGCAAGCCGTCGGGGAAGAAGACTGGTGTGGATAAACAGAGATTTGACCGGAACTCAGAGGAAAAGTTTATGACATCTGGAAGATGGGTCAGGCAACTCAGGAGGACTACAAGGATGTTGTGAGGTTATGCAGGGAGAAAGTTTGAAGGACCAAAGTCCAGCTAGAAGTTAATATGGCCATTACCGAAAAAGTAAATGAAAAATATTTCTATAAATACAGTAGCAACAAAAGGAGGGCTAAGGAGAATCTCCATCCTTTATTGGAAACATAGTGACAAAGGATTAGGAAAAGGCTCAGGTACTTATTGCTGCCTTTGCCTCAGTCTTTAACAGAAAGACCAGTTGTTCTCCAGGTGCCCAGCCCCCTGAGCTGGAAGACAGGGATGAGGAACAGAATGAAGCCCCCTTAATTCAAGGGGAAATGGTCAGTAACCTGCTACACCACTTAGACACATATAAGTCTATGGGGCTGGATGGGCTCCACCCAAGGGTACTGAGGGAGCTGACAGAAGAGCTCACCAAGACACTCGCCATCATTTGTCATCAGTCCTGGTTATCTGAGGAGGTCCCAGCTGACTGGAGGTGGGCCAATGTAATGCCCATCTATAAGAAGGGTCAGAAGGAGCATCTGGGGAACTGCAGGCCTCTCAGTCTGACTTCAGTGTTGGGGAAGGTTATGGAGCAGTTCTTCTTGAGTGTCATCACATAGTGTATACATGTATTTGTTTTGCATGGCCTGGTTTTTGGGAGCAAGGGGGCCAGAAAGATGGCTCCTGTGGGAAGCTGCTAGAAGCTTCCACCATGTCCAGCAGATACAATCCCTGATGGCTCTGAAGATGGATATGCTGCTGACCAAACTGGGCCAACTAGAGAAGCTGGTAACACCTATGTGATAACATATTTAAGAAGAAAATCAAACCAAAGTGGGGACACAGTTTTTCTTCTAGTCAGAGAAGAGGAGGAGGTGAGGACATGTGAGGGAAAACAACATGGTAACACCAAGGTCAGTGAAGGAGGAGGGGGAGGTGGTGCTCCAGATGCCAGAGCTAAAATTCCTCTGCAGGCCGTGGTGAAGACCATGGTGAATCAGCTGTCCCCCTGCAGCCCATGAAGATCCATGGGGGATGCAGAGATCCACCTGCAGCCTGTGGGAGAGGTGCTCACTCTGGAGCAGGTGGATGCCTGGAGGAGGCTGTGATCCAGTGGGAGACCCGGTGGAGAGAGAGGGCCCCTGCTTCCAGGCTGGAGCAGCCTGTCCTTGGAGGACTGCACCCCATGGAAGAGTGACCCACGCTGCAGCAGTTTTGGGAAAACTGTTTGTCTGTGGGGAGAATTGACGTTGCAGCAGTTTTGGGAAGACTGCTGCTCGTGAGAGTGGACCCACGCTGGAGAAGTTTGCAGAGAACTGTCTCCCACGGGAAGGACCCCACGGTCTAACAGGGGAACGACTCCTCTCCCGGAGCAGCAGAAGAAAACCTCGGGCGATGAACCGACCAAACCCCCATGTCCTGTCTCCCTGTGCTGTCAGTGGGAAGGAGGGAGGGGCTGGGGGGAAAAAAGGTGTTTTAAGGGCTTATTTTACTTTGCATTATCCTCCTCTGATTCTGTTAGTAATAAATTCACTTTGCAATTTTAAGTTGACCTTGTTTTTCCCTTGAAGTGTTTTCTCCTGGTCCTTATCTCAACTCGTGAATCCTTTGTTAATTTTTTTTCTCTCCTCTGCCCAGCTGTGGCAGGGGAGGGTGAGCGAGTGGCTTTCATGGGTGCCTGGTATTGGGCCAGTGTCCAACCACGACAGTACAGAACAAGCAGATGATCAGATGCAGCCAGAACGATTTTAGGAAAGGCAGGTCCTACTTGACCAACCTGATTTCCTTCTATGACCAGGTGAGCCACCTAGTGGATGAGGGAAAGGCTGTGGATGTATCTACCTGGACTTCAATAGTGCTTTTGATACTGTCTCCCACAGCATTCTCCTGGAGAAGCTGCAGCCCATGGCTTGGACAGGTGTACTGTTCACTGGGTAAAAAACTGGTTGGATGGCTGGGCCCAGAGAGTAGTGGTGAATGGAGTTATATCTAGCTTGTGGCCAGTCACTAGTGGGGTTCTCCAGGGCTCAGTATTGGGGCCTGCCCTTTTTAATACCTTTGTCAATGATCTGGACTGGGGGATCGAGTGCACCCTCAGCAAGTTTGCAGACAACACCAAGTTGAGTGGGAATGTCGATGTGCTGGAGGGCAGGAAGGCTCTGCAGAGGGGGTCTGGACAGGTTGGATCAATGGGTCAAGGCCAAGGGTATGAGGTTCAATAAGGCAAAGCGCTGTGTCCTGCACTTGGGTCACAACAACCCCCTGCAATGCTACAAGCTGGGGGACTGAGTAGCTGGAAAGCTGCCCATTGGGAAAGGACCTGGAGGTGTTGGACAACAGCTGTCTGAATGTGAGCTAGCAGTGTACCCAGGTGGGCAAGAAGGCAAATGGCAACCTGGCTTCTATTAGAAGTAGTATGGCCAGCAGGACTAGGGCAGTAATTGTCTCCCTGTAGTCAGCACTGGTGAGGTCACATCTCTAATAGAGTGTTGAGTTTTGGGCCCTTCACTACAAGAAGGACATTGAAGTGCTGGAGCGAGTCCAGAGAAGGGCAAAAAAGCTGGTGAAGGGTCTGGAGCACAAGTCCAATGAGGAGCAGCTGAGGGAGCTGGGGGTATTTTTCCTGGGGAATAGGAGGCTAAGGGGAGACCTTATTGTTCTCTATCCTTTTCATAATGATAACAAGCTGAGGTTGGGAAGATACTGAAAGGACATATGCAAATACTGGCAATGCTGCAAATGGTGTTAAACTAAGAGGTAATTATCTTGACTGGAGAATTATGGTTTATAATGAATGTTTCAGCAAAGCTAATTAGTTGACGCTTTATTTTTCTTCCTTTTCCAGGCTCAAATTTGGATTGATGTGGCTTCAGAGGCTCTTCATATTTAGGGATGCCATTCAATCCATCCAAGGTTAGTTAAGTGTGGGGGAAAAGATTTTCAATTAGGCAGTAAATGATTGTGTGTCTTTTTCATAATATTAGCTACAGAATTGTGGAAAATCTGGGAAATGGGTTTTTTTGCACTGTTAGTGTAATGAAGCAATTGCAGATACTTTTAAAAATGTGCAGTATTCTTAAAATTGTACTACTTGTGTTTCCAGGGGCAGTGACATACAAATTGTGGCTCTTTTCAGTGCACTTCTCTGATCTATAACTAGGGAGGGGAAACTTCTCCAGGTCCACAACTGTCTGTGGACCTGGAAGTGAAGAGCAAAACAGCTTTGTATGAGGTAGTACAGCACATGCTGTTCTTCAGTGTTCCTCTTCCCTTGATGAAATGCAGAGTTTTTGATTGTACCTGGTATCCATTCAAACA